AATTCCTAAGAAGTTGTTGAATTTGGTAAGAGTAGTGTAGAATCGTGCAGGTGTAGATCATAAATGGTATCACAGGATTGGTCAGTTCAAAGGGAAATTTGCGAAAGTCACTATTTTCTGCTCCTTTTCTATTCTGGTCTTCCAAGACAATAGAACAATGGCGAGAGATCCGTTTCCGGAAAGATGAAAGGTACTTTAGTACGTTATCACGGGCACTTTGGTTCTGGTGTTCGAAGAGATCAGATGTGCTAAGGTGCAACTTCTGCAGTGAGGTAACAGGTTCAGCCTGGATTTTGTATTCCCGCCTTCCAAGGGACAGTGGAAACCTCATAGCTGCTACCACCAGGATCTTTCCAGAAACTCCAGCCGTTTGATTTGGTTCCCGGCAAGCCAGAAGTCTCTGTCCAGGATCGACCACGTGGACCTGGGCAATTTTTTTTGATCTCCGGTTGTACCCTTCGAAGAAGGTGAGTCCTATGGAAGTTTATTCCCACTTTTCTCCACCAGAAATCGATTCCAGGCGTGACCGGTATTTTTTTTTTCTTTCAAATAGGGTTTTTTGTGAGGGCATTCAAGCCCACATTTTTTGATCCCGGCATACGATGCTGTACAGTTCAGTCATGTGGTTACTGTACCATGCGGTCCTCCACGAGGTGTCATCATCAGATGTTTCATCGTCATTAACGTCGTCGACTCCAGCTGCTAGCTTTGGTTACATCCATCAGTCTCAGCAACTCATTGGTTGTCCCGTCCCAGCTCGCATCATCTGGTTCCTGCTAGCTCTATATCGTTCAGCTTCAGCTGCCCTTCTGTCTGCTCCAGCCGCCAGCTTCAGCTGCTAAATTGTCAGCTTCGTCTGTCCGCAGCGTGATGGAAATTATTCTTTAAAAGGGTGGTAATTATTGATCATTCAGGTATAAAATATAATAATTTTGTTTTGACCAAATTTCTGTCCCTATGATTTTTATAGGTATATAAATTGATTTTTGATTTATTTTTTTTTGACCAAATGCTTATGTAAGCGAAACATAGTACTATGCGGTAGCCCCTGCGAATAGCTGATTTTTTTTACTACTTGTTTGATTATTTATACTAGACATCACCTAGAGACCTGGTAACATCAGAATATGCATTTTTTTATTACATGATTTCCTATATTGATCATATTCCCATCCATCAAATGATCATCGATTGATCACATTTTGTCAGTAAAATATTATATAATGAGTTTTAAATTGATAATATCTACATCTATCACATGATCCACGATTGATCACATTTTTTGTCTGTAAAACATTATATAATACATATTCATATTGATATTTACATCTATCATAATTATGTGCATCGATTGTTCACAATAATTTTTTTGTCAATAGGATATACCTAAATTTCAGAAATATTTTCACCCATCACGTTGTTGTATATATGTATATAATATATGTGTCACGTTTATTATGACTTTTATTTATGGTATGATGAACATTCACTAATCTTATAATTCTCAAATATCACTATTATGCAGTCAAATATTCTTTATAAAACTTTTTCTATTTGGTTCCTTAACTTTCCAGATAGCTACTTGTGATCCATGGGTCAATAGTTGTGATAATTCAAAAGTTGAGTGGCGCCTATTTTTTTTTTGATTATTGAGTTATGCAATCTTTTCTATTTAACGAACCCATAGTGCTTCTCTGACCAACAGCTGCCGTTCGCAAGTAACCATTCTTTTTGTTTTGCTTCAAAATATCTTAATTTTGAATATAGTAGGGTTACAATGTCATTTTTTGAGAACTGTCACTTGGAGTGTTTTCGGAAAATAAAGTTTTATCACATCAGGTAGAAACTATATTTTGGCATTCATCATTAAATCCATACAGTTTTCGTAAAACAGAGAGTAGATCAAAGATTTTGAATTGAAAGAGAGACTTTCTAAATTAACTTCTTATCAGAGGTAGCACACGAAAAGTTCAAGATGGTTAAATTCGGTACAGCTTCCAAAACTGTGTCACCTTGTAGGTAATCAAAATCGATCAATCGCCCCAAAAATAATTTTTTCAGGTGTAGTAGAGAAATCGCGAAAAACACAACAAATATATAAAATGTTGACACCCTGTATATCGGAATCGAAGCTCCCACACATGAACAGGGTGAGTCGAAAATATAGCTCGCTATCTGGAGGTGATAGTAAATAATTAATATGGTAATATACAGGGTGATTCAGGTTTTAAGGCACCAACTGAAATGGGAGTTAGATCTCATCATTTCAATCAAAAAAGTCTATATAAACATTAGTCCGATCTCGTTCAGTAACGGAGCTACAGGGGGTCAAAGTTTAATTATTTTTTTCTATTAATTGAAATATCTCGCTTACTTTTCAAGATATCATTTCGAAATTTGGTGTAGTCAATACTTCCTAGAAGATCATCATTTCAGGCATTTTAAAGATTTTCAAAATCTATAGGGTGATACGTTTTTGGAGGTGGAGGCTTCTTTATCCCCTTCAAACTTTTTCGTAGTACGCCTCTGGCATCTTTCAGTGATCAAATTGTGTGGATCGTTCAATTTAGAGGCTTTTTTTGCTCTTCAATTTTTTTCGAGAAACGAACTGTTTTCGAGATAAATAAGCATATACGTTCGAAAACATGTTAATTTTGCTTATGTTTCGCTTAAATTGTATTCTTTGACAAAATTCGTTGAAAATGCAACAAAATGTTCTAAGATTGCAATGTTCTTACGCACGTTACTGATCCAGATTGGACTCGTGATTTCAATTTTAGTGAGTACATTTCATTGCATTTCAACGAATTTTGTCAAAGAATAAAATATTTAAGCGAAACATATGCAAAATTAACATGTTTTAGAACGTATATGCTTATTTATCTCAAAAACGGTTCGTTTCTCGAAAAAAATTGAAGAGCAAAAAAAGCCTCTAAATTGAACGATCTACACAATTTGATCACTGAAAGATGCCAGAGGCGTACTACGAAAAAGTTTGAATGGGATAAAGAAGCCTCTACCTCCAAAAACGTATCACCCTGTGGATTTTGAAGATATTTAAAATGCTTGAAATGATGATCTTTCAAGAAGTATTGATCACACCAAATTTCAAAATGATATCTTGAAAAGTAAGCGAGATATTTCAATTAATAGAAAAAAATAATTTAACTTTGACCCCCTGTAGCTCCGCTACTGAACGAGATCGGACTGATGTTTATATAAACTTTTTTGATTAAAAGGATGAGATCTATCTCCCATTTCACTTTGTGCCTTAAAACCTGAATCACCCTGTATATTGAGGGTTGAAGAAATTGGAATCATTTTTCCGAATAACTTCTAAGCGGTAGGACCCACCAGAATGAATTTTTCTGCATGAATGTATATTGATAGAATACATTTTTCTGATACACTTCTACATTTCTGATATTCTTGTAAAGGGAATTTTTCAAGGGTGGGTCATGATTTTTTGAAGACATAATTTTTCCTCGTATTCTTCTTGTTGAAGGGATAGAAGCATTCGATGAAGCGGTGAAAAATACATAAAAACGCTGAGGTCACCAAAATACAAAAATTGTGACCGTTATCGAGATATTTTAGTTTTTGTAGTGACATGATATCAGCAGATAAATTCATCGCGAACTTCTCGGCCGTACGCCATCTCTTTTTTTCGTTTTAAAACTTTCGTCTTCACGAAATCTTTGCACAATCCTCAGAATTGTTCTAGAATTTCGAACGCGTCCAGCGGAAAACATCTCGGCAAACGAATAACCTGATAATATTACTAAGCAAACAACTAAACAAGGAGATTGACAATAATAATATATATGTCATAAATTCCAAAATTGATCGTGGCCTCCTAACATATTGTTATACCGATGAATTGATCTGCTGAGATCATGTGACTACAAGAACACAAATATCTTTAAAACGGTTACAGTTTTTGTATTTTGAGAAGTGTACCGTGTTCATGTGATTTTTTTCGCTCTGAACATTACAGGATATCCCTTTTCGTGGGAACCAAAACATAAAAAAAATATATCAGAAATGTAGAAGTGTACCAGGAGAATTGATTCTATCAACATACATATTATGTAGGCAATATCAACTAGTGGCTTTTATCGTTTAGAAGTTAAACGGTGAAATTATTTCAATTCCATCAACTTTGCAAGGATATATCTAACCTCATATACATTTTGGGCAATCAGTTTATTCATCAAACTATACTTATTTATACATGCACTATCGCCTTCAGAAAGCTTGATACACATTTTTGGCTCACCTTGTACATATATGTTCACATGAAATATTCATCTTGGAAATAGGTGTTCTTCAAGCTTGGGGTCCTGCTACAAAAAACTTACCCTGTATAATCCCAAAACTACGTTGAATTAAAGTTGTTATAAAATAACTGTAGTAACATAAGTTTCAAGAACTTTGAAGATTTCAGATAAATCCGATGAAAATTGTCACAAAAAAGTTGTAAAGGTGGCAGATCAAACATTTTATTTTCCATAATATCATATTTGAAAATATATAAATGACAATTCACTCTGACACATACAAATCGAGCTATAATCTTATTCAAAAATAGGTTTCAATTCCGAGATAGTTTTCATTTTCTCATCATAAAATTCTCCGCATCCTCAGATGAATCATCCTGTATGAATGATATGAATCAAGCATTGCCAATAATCAAAACATAATCATAGCACCGAACAATTATTTTACTCGTTCTTATAGACAAACAACATAATGTTTATCTTTCATGAAATCTCCAAAATTATTCCCAAACAATGGTTTATGATGGTTATTACATTTCATACACCACAATTACGGTCTAATAATCTTTGTTTTCCATGCGTGACCACACTCATTCACGAAGAATTTCCAGTTAACTATACGATTCGTTTTCAAAATTGCTCATAAAAAATGCATATTCTTCAGTAATACCTAGACACATAAGCATATACATAACTATTCGAGGCCATAGCAACACCACGATGGTCAGAAAAATAATGGACAAAACAAAGGTCTTCGGTCCTAGACATGTTGATTTCAAAGTCTTGAAGTTGGTTTTCAAGCTAGGAAAACTTTTCGGTACTGCTCCATTTCCAATGGAAACTGTCAAGAAGAAACCCATTCTAGGGAAAGTGATAAGTCTAGCTGTGATCGGAGTAATAATCAGCTACAATTATTTCACCATCCAAAAGCAAATCGTGATTTTTCCCTTGTATCACACGACTATAACGGCTATGTCTTGGTTGATAACGCTTACAGATATTGTACTTCTTTTCTATTGCGTCACTTTCTTGACTTTCTTCCGAAATGACGTTTGGATGCCGCTGTTCAAGAAAATTCACAAGCTCGAGGACACTATCAATCATTACGATTATTTCCAGACCGGAAAAGAGTTCATCCTGTTCTTCAAACTAGGATTGATGTACTCCACTTTCATCGGCATCAACTTCGCAAGGTACTACATTACATCTATCAGGATCATACGTGTCAATTCTACCATCAGCCAATTCTACACCATCATAATATTCACCTACTACATTTCTTTGACCAACTGGATGAAAAATAGGTACGACTTTTTGGATCAGTACCTGACCAACTCCATGAGTAAACAGCAGAAGAGCGTCGAAGTCATAGAAAGGGTGATGGAAGTTTATAAATTGGCGGACAGTGTTGTCGAGGAGTTCAATAAGCTATGCGGAGGGATAGTTTCGTATTGCATTTGCGTGTCTGTTTTGCATTTGCTCTACTATTTTTCTTTTGCCATCGATAACAATAATTCTGAAGCAAAAATACTCAATTATTTGGAGCCACTTGTTCAGATAGTGAGTAATTTGGAATTGTGCTGCCTCATCATACTGCTAACATGCGATTTCGGTCTTATGTGATCTTTGATTCGTGTTCCTGCGTTCTGGAATGAATCATTGATTTTTGGCTTTTTCATATTAGTCGGGGCTAAATTCCAAAAAAAGCCCTCCGTTACAATCCTAGAAGCATTTCATGTAACAATTGGATAAATGCTGTTAACCCCCTATTTTGACCCCGCTGAATCCGAAAATACCGTTTATCAAGTCGAACTTCCAACCGGAAGTGAGATATTCAAGATGGCGTCCAGAATACCCCTAAAATCAAATTATTTTCTACTTTCGGTCAGCTATACGATTGAGGTGTCGATGTCTATGTTTTCGGGGGTGTAGAATACGATGAGACACTCAAAAATTGATTTGGAGCTTTGAAAGTTCATCGAGTGATCAAATTTTGACGAAATGGGCCAAAATTCCAAAGAACTTGTGAAAACGTGTTGTATAATGTACATGCTTGTATACGTTTTCGAGGGTGCTCGATACGTTTATGAGCCAAAAAAGCATTTGAACATTGTCCAAGCCTTCATTTCTTATATTTTGAAAAAAAAAAGTTCACTATTAGTAGTCTTCCTCATCTTTTCTGCTCCATTCGGCTCCCTGCAGCCACACTGCTTCGTGCCGCAGTGGCCGCAGAGCCCCATGCAGTCACAAGCTCCAAATTCGGGACATGACTTGGGAATAGGTAGCAAAGTCATCAAGATTGGGACTTACCGTCCATCACCAATTTCCCAGCCGCAATTAATCGGGTCTGGTGAATCAAGATACTGATCATGGGTGTTAAACCAAACACTATAGTAAGTACCTAAAAAGAAAACAGACTTAAATTAAAATCCCTCGATTTTTTCTATTTTCTATTTCTCCTTGTTAATTTTATCTGGAAGTAGCACCGAAGAATGTGTTGATGGATGGCATCAGTGGTAGATGGCAAAAATCATTCGCACTGTCCCAAAAATTGCAACACGGGCTGCGTCTGCCGTTGTAATGTCCGGTCCAACTCGAAATAAAAATGATATTAGTATAAAAACGGCTAACAGTTCTAATTCGCCATGTGTCTTAGAAAAGGGACACAACAAACCTTGTATAAAGCTGGCACCACAAACTGTTCAACCAAACGGAGATCCTCGGGGGCTATATCAGGAGTCTTTTCAAGCTGACTGAGGAGTTTACAGTAGTTTTCTGCAATGTACTGCTTCCACCGTCCTGTTTTTGTGGCAGACCCTCATCAAGATTTAGTATTACATTCGGTGATTGCGTGGAAATCCATCAGGTTTTTGATCTGTTGTGATGTGAGCTTTCTACATAGTTCATGAATTGGAATATACTTTCTATCTCGGGAAGTACCACACATCACCCAGCATTCCTTGCATTTCATTCTTTCAAAGTGATAGATGAATAATGAAATCACACTAGTGTCTTCAACAGAAACAACAACAGCCTCTCTTTCGGTTTTTACGCATGGAGTATATTCCAATTCACGAACTATGTAAGAAACTTGCACCACAACAGATAAAAAACCTGATGACTTCCCACGCAATCACTGGATGTGATACTACATTTAAGTTTGCGTCAGTCACAAAAACAGAACGGTGGAAGCAAGTACATAGAAGAAAACTTCTGTAAACTCCTCTGGTGCTACTTCCAGGTAGAAGAAAATTGAACAAATCGAAGGATGGTAATGTTATGTTCAGATACTAGTGTGGATTGGGGCCCATGATCAGTATCCTGATTTATAAGACCCGAATAATCACGGCTGGAAAATTGTTGATGGTCGATATGTCCCAATCCTGATGACTTTGCCACCTATTCCCAATTCATTTTCCAAATTTGGAACTCGTGGCTGCAAGGGGCTCTCTCAAAATATAAGAAATGAAGGCTTGGACAATGTTCAAATGCTTTTTTGGCTCATAAACTTATTGAGCACCCTCGAAAGCGTATGCAAGCATATACATTATGCAACACGTTTTCACAAGTTCTTTGGAATTTCGGTCTATTTCGTCAAAATTTGATCATTCGATGAACTTTCGATGCTCCAAATCATTTTTGAGTGTCTCATCGTATTTTACACCCCCGAAAACATAGACCTGCTGACCGAAAGTAGAAAATAATTAGATTTTAGGTGTATTTCGGACGCCATCTTGAATATCTCACTTCCAGTTGGAATTTCGACTTGATAAACGGTATTTTCGGATTCAGCGGGGTCGAAATAGGGGGTTAACGTCATTTATCCAATTGTTACATGAAATGCTTCTAGAATTCGACTTTTCGCAAAACAAGCCCCGACTATATATATATAGGGTATATCTTCGTGAGTTAACGAGAATTTAAATATTTTCGTTATTGTGGAGCTTCCGCTTTTTCCGTAAATGACGTCATCCTTGTTATTTTCAATGGGACACCTTATATTTTACTGCATTTTTTAATTCTTCTGATAGATATATTGTTAAAATATAAAATTTTCACTTATCTTTGGACGTTTCGGCAAAGGATCTTTTTTTATGTTCTGGTTATCACGAAAAGGGATATTCTGTAATGTTCAGAGAACATCGTGAGAACCAAGGGAAACAAAAATTCAAGAATAATCAGCCAAGTTTCAAGTCCACTAATGGATATGGGAAGGGACAAAATGCTGCCTAGAAATAACTATTACAGACCCATCAATACTCAGCTCTACTGGGATGAAATGGTCTTGACTAACTGTCAGGAAGGCACGTTAGTGTGGTACACTGACGGTTCTAAGACTGATGAGGGCACAGGAGCCAGAATATATGGAGATAGACCCAGAACCAGGATGTGTGCTTCCTTGGGGAGGTACAGAGATGATACAGAGGATACAGAGGTGAACAAATCCTCATATGCTCAGATAGTCAGGCGGCCATTCAATCTTCAACATGCAATAAAATCAGATCAAAACTGGTCTGGGATTGCCTTCGAAGCCTGCTAACCCTGGCTAACCACAACAAGGTAACTCTTCAATGGGTGCCAGGGCATAAGGGAATTGAAGGCAATGAAGCAGCTGACGCTCTTGCCCGGCAAGGGTCTGCGACGTTGTTTATGGGGCCGGAACCTGTGTTCGGTATCCCCAAAACCTCAATACGCGGCTGGCTGGCAAGGTGGATGCAAGAAAGACATCAGGCATACTGGAACAATGTCCCAGGACAATGACACAGTGAACCGATGGTTGGAACACTGCCCAAAACAGTGACTAACGACATTCTGAGCCTAAACAGAAGTCAGATCAAACAAGTGACGGGACTAATAACCGGTCACTGCCCCTTGAGGAAACATATGCATCAAATGGGCATCTATACAGACGAACCCATATGCAGACTATGCAATAAGGAGGAGGAAACTGCCACCCATGTAATATTGGAGTGCGAAGCACTAGCGCGTTGGAGATACAACCTTCTGGGAGCAGTAAACTCTCAAGAGGCATTTTCAAAGAATGATTTGGTGAGGAGGCTGCTAAACCACATCAAGGTAGCGAACCTGTTCACCTAAGTCAACAGCATGATCAGGAATACAATAGGCCCAAAGGCTGCAGTGTTTTGGGCTTCAAACCCTGACTGATCATTCTGCTATTAATCAATCAATCAATCAATCAATCAATCAATCAATCAATTAAGGGAAACAAGGTGAGAATTGGTATTCTTCTTGAGTTCCTGGAGGTTATATGCCTCGGAAAACACCTCCCTTGGCAATCTGTTCCAGAGCCTCGCTGTTCGTTGGATGAACGACTCTTTGGAAAGAGATGTTCTGCAGTTCTCCAAAGTGACCACGAAAGGGTGCGAAGCCTGAACTCGACGAGTTAATCTCGCAGGGACTGCCAAGGGAGCTACAATTGTTGATATTTCGGAAGAGCATTGTCCATAAAAATATCTTCAAAATAGAGCCAGATCGCCAACTTTCCTACGGTGTTCCAGAGAAGTGAGTGAGTTTGTGAGCAAGGCATCACCCACGAAACAATTTGCTCTTTTTGGGCAGAATCCAACAGTTTCAAGGTATGTTTGGGTGCTATTTTACTCCATATCAACGATTTGTTGGAAACAACTTCATGTCCAGTACACAGCTTCGCGGATGATAGTACCCTCCATACCGCCTTCTCTTTCAGGGCTCCAATACCAGCCAGGCAAATCAGAAACGAACGAGGGAGAAATGTTGACAACATAAATATGGACTTGGCAACAATTCTCGAATGGGGACCCAATAACTTGGTAGATTTCAATGCAAACAAAACACAAACATGCCTTTTCACTAGAAAAGCCGATCTCACTGTGCCTAACATAAGCTTGTCAGGAGTAACCATACCTTTGAAGACATCCATTTCGATGCTTGGTATTACTATCAGCAATAACCTTTCTTGGGAAAATCACGTGAGATCAATTGCTAAAAGTGCATCCCAAAAACTTGGTTATCGGTTTCGGGCCAGGAGCTATTTCACTTCCAGTCAGCTGCTTATAATATATAAGGCACAGATCCAACCTGTTCTGGAATACTGTTCCCATATTTGGAGTGCACCCAAACATACCCTGAAACTGTTGGAGTCTGTCCAAAAAAGGGCAATTCGTCTCGCCTCGCTCATGAACTCACTCACTTTTCTGGAACACCGTAGAAAAGTTGGTGATTCAGCTCTATTTTATAGATATTTTTATTGACGATGCTCTTCTGAAATATCAACAATTGTTCCTCCCTTGGCAGTCCCCGCGAGATTAACCCAGTTGAGGCTTTGCACCCCTTCGTGGTCACTTTGGAGACTTGCAGAACATCTCTTCCCAAAGACTCGTTCATCCAACGAACAGCGAGGCTCTGGAACACATTGCCAAGGGAGGTGTTCCCCGAGGCATATAACCTCCAGAAATTCAAGAAGATCACCAATTCCTACCTCATTTTCCTTGGTTACCACGATGTTTTCTGAACATCACAGGATATCCCTTTTCATGAGAACCAGAACATAAAAAAATATATGAATTCTGGGTTTTTCCACTACTCCATATTTTAAAATAATTTTCGTCAGAATTTGTCCATAAATAATCTATGAATGTGGCTTTCAACTAGGTCACTCTGTAGATCGCGTCAATTCATGAATAAGATATACCCTGTAAAGACAGCAAAAAAGGTCATCAAATAGAACGCAATCATTTTATATTTATGCTGTACCATAAACATGAAAGTTCCCATACAAAACCCATTGTTATTTCCAGGTGTCTTTGACAGTCATGATCATGTCATGTGATTCAACGGAGAAAAGTGGCCAGAAAATCATCAAGACTTGTTTTCACTTGCACGATCACGTGGAAAACTTCACGGTCAAGGAAAAACTCCTGATGCTCGCAAACTACGTCAAACAATGGAAGCCGGTTTTTTCTGCAGCAGGATTCTACGATATTCATCAGACGACGTTGTCATCGATTTTTTCCGCTTTCATCACGTACTCTGTCATCATCATACAGTTCAATATGGTGCTGGTTGATGAGAATACTAATAGTACTGATGCCACCACGACTGCAGTCAATCTGCTGGAAAAAACTACTTCCTCTTAAGTTTTTTTGGTGTTCAGCTTTTTTTGCTAGAAATTTTGTAATTTTTCCCGAATTTTCTACTTGTTTCTCTGAATTTCTACATCATTCACTGATTTTGATTTCGATTTAATTTTTGATATTTCGCCTCTTTACTTGGATTTACTAGATAAAGGGCTCAAAGAATTAAGTGGAATTTTGAATTTGCCATATTTTTTCGAAAAATAAATTGATTCCCTATCGGAAAGCAGTGCATGGAAGCTGCGTTCTTCTTCTCTGAGATTGAGTGTTCAAAACACATCAAAATTCCTCAGCCATGACACACCAAGTGTTTGAAAAAAGTAATACATAAAAGGTTCTCTTTATTTTTTCACAAATCCTGTTTTATGAATGCGTGAGACATTTTACGTTCTAATTTCCGAACGAAAAAAACGACTATTTCCGAAGGCAAGTAGTTTTCGTTCGCAGACACTAGATTTTCGTCAGAAAACACTTTCCGTCCGCTGCAGGATTGCCAGTTATACTGAATTTTCCGTAGATCTCCTGATTTGCATATTGATCTCCTTCCATAATCTACTGAAAAATATTTTGACACCTATTCATCATTTCATTTAACTATATCATTATCAATCTTTAGTTGATCACATACAGTGATGAATTGCATGATATTTTGCTGTGTTCAAATACATTCTACAATGATATGATATGATGATATGATATGCATAAACCAAGAAGGATAAAACTCTACCTGATTCACATCAAATTCAATTTTTTATATAACTCTGTTAGGTATTCTTTCTTACGTTCAATTTTTTCATTTGTTTTGTATTTTTGTTGTTCATTTTTACTATTAGTTCCTGATTTTAATATCCTTACTCAAATCTTATGGGTATCTATGTAACTGTATTTTGTGATATTTGTGAGAATGTTCGTTTTGTTTGTTTCTATTTTGTTGGAAATAGGTTGCTGTTCTGTTCACTAAAAGTACATAATGTTTTCATTTCATCACCCTTCCTTGGAATTTTTATAGCATAAAATAGATCTCAAACAGGTCTATTGAAATCTACTGAATTTTTGACAAGGTATTTCCTGATGGAATAAAAATAGAACTGACAACCCTGGTCCGCACGAAGAGTGAAGTTGACAACTGAAATTTCACCTCATTTGCTGAATTCCGATATTTTTTGCGATATTTTCATTTTATTCTCGGATTCACTAGACATATTGAGCTCGTCTTTCGAATTTTCAAGCTGTATAAGAATTAGTTTTTTTTTCGGAAATTTCAACTTTTTCCTCTGAAGTTTATGGATTCAATTTCCTGAGATGAAAGTCATCTTTCTGTTCCTCAGAATTTTCAACTCCACTTCAAAATTCTGCCTTTTGTCCTGAATTCCGACTTTATTGTTCAAGTCATAACGTTGAACTCCAACTGTTTGAATTCCAACTAATTCTTTGAAATCATTACATTAGTATCTGAACGTCGTCATGTTCCTCAGAACTTTGAGTTGTTCTCAAAATTTTGGGACAACTGTCTGGATTTCCTCAAGCAAATTATGATTATTGATGTTTTGTTGTCAAGGTTTCGACATTCTTTAAATTTTAGCTCTTTCTTCAAATTTTCACTGCAAATTTCCACTTCAATCTCTAGAATTCAATGAAATTCAATGAAAATGAATTATGTTCCGAAATTTTTACTGTATTGAGTTTTTTCCCAAAGATTTTGTCCTGTTTCGAAAATCCTAACCTGACCTTCTTCTGAGAACTTCTACTAAATGTGTTCGCGGTATTTTCATTTTATTCAATATATCCGACTTGTTTTGAACATTTTCATCATTATCTCTCATTTTCACATATTGACATAGGTTTTTCACTTGTTGTTAGTGAAAATTTTCACGAATTTTGGAAGATGGAAAATCAACTCAAGTAGAAGCAAAAATCTCTCAGGATTGTTTTAGCAAAAAAAGTACTCTTCGAGGAATTTTTCATTACAAAATTTGTGAAAACAGAAATCCTATTTCAAGTTTTACTCTTTCAATTATTGAAAAATACAATAAGAGAATGAAAATTATTCCTTCCAATACCTCAATAAAAAGCTTAATTTTTGATGTCCCGAAATATATTTGACTGTTATATAATATTATAAAGTGTTCAGGACAACTGTGAACATCAGCATGTATTCGTGTGGATGATTATCCAACATAGAACGACGTAATTTATTCGCCATTATACATTTTTTTCCTCCAAAACGTTTACATTAATGACAATACCATGTCGATGTTCAATAATCACCCTACAGTACAATTCCATTCCTCTCTAGACAATGGTTCATGCAAGAAAAAAAGAAACAAATGAAAATAACGACTATAAATTCATGGTTTATTGTTTCCATCTAGGGGGTTATATAGGGCTCACCCCCTCGTCATTCAACTCAACATCAACAGTTGAGAGAGTAAGGTATAAGAAAATCAGTTTGAGAATCATCCAACTGTTTCTTGTAGTTTACAGTTACTTTTCCTTGAAGACGCAATGGAAAATAATAGCAGGAAACTTCAGCGCCATGTTTCAGATTTTGGAAATGGGAGTCGGTGTTTTAGAAGTAGCATTCACATTTTGGACCATGGTATATTTCGGTTATCTCAATCGGAAAGAATGGAAAGATTTACTGCTGAAAATGCAACAACTTGAAGGAGTCATGGCGTCCAATGGTTACGCAAAAAATGTGGTTCCAAACAATTGGCTTTCAGGGCGTATACTCTTCATTTACAGTTTCCTGTTTTTGTTCCACGCAACTCGAGAATATGTCTGGTTCTTTAATCAGTCCTACATTCTTATGTACGGTTACTCTTTTTCTGTAATAACACACTTTTATATGACTTCCATAATTGTTCATCACATGGTTGTTATGGATTGGTTGGGAAGGCGTTATGATTTTTTGAATGACGAATTGGGCAAACATAAACGAATTCCAAGTAGACTAGCAGAAAAAATAGCAGAAATAACGAGAATATATAAGCTTGGTGGCTTCGTAGTACAGGACAATAACTCCATTTACAAGTCCTTCAACTTTGTTCAAATTTTCGCTTACATGGTTTTCATATTAGACGCCATTTCGTACAGTGTAGATGGACATAAATCGACTGTCGAGAGAAAAATTCTAGATTGCATACTGCCCACATTTCATTTTGTAAGTACCACAATGATAATTATACCCCCATTGCAATATGAGATAGACAAATTGTTTTTCGGGATGTAGTACAAAATCGTAATTTCTACGAGTCAACAATATTTTGATTTCTGCAGCATGTTTTTTGAACCTGTATTTTTTCACATATTATTATTTTGATTCGCTGTTATCTTATCTACACAACACAATCATGTCTCATTTTTTGAATTATTTTGGGGTGTTGCCAAGTTAACTAGAATTATTTTATAATTGGGAGTTATTTCACTGGGTGATAATGATCAATGAATTGAGTTTTTCGAATGATGGTCATAACTTTGTTATTTCAAATGAAATATCCTGTATTTTTCAGTAAAGATGTTCATTTTCCTCAATCTGATATTATGTAGCGCACAAAACTGAAAATATGAATATTATTTCAATGTTCGTGTAGTGAGGACGAATCAGATGATTTGCCCAAAAATGTCACTGCGTTTAAATAATTTTTCTATCAGAGAGCCTGATAGAAAAATTCACTAGCTTGTCAGTGACAATTTGAATGAGATTTGGAGAAGAGAAATGAAGGTATATAGAAAAAATATCGAATTCAAGCTGTCATTGCTTGAAATTTGGCTTTTTCTGGGAGATGAGATTCGATGAAATAATAACACAATGAAGGCATTGTGATATCAGATACGGAAATGAAATTGATGACATACAAAGTACCTCTCTGATGTAGGGAACACAGTAAAACAAGCGAGGTACGTATTTTTTGAAAGGTATCAGATTAGTATAGATGTAGTTTTCATTAGGTATTAGATTAGTATAGAGGTCAGATAATTCATACGACGCTATAAAAGCAGATGATATTTTATCATTGCTCATGTAAGATGGAAGTAGAGGCCATGGCACCATATCATGAGCATATTTTTATATTGAAACTATCATTGGGCACCACAGATGTGTATACGACGCTATGAAAGTTCAGAGAACTGGAGATTTCTTCCACTAACTACGTACTTAGCCCACTCGAATGTCTTGGTTTTTCCACACAAACTACGTACCTAGCCCACTCGACTACCAATAGGGACTAAAAAAACAAAAACAAAAAAAAGTTAAAACAATGCCAACATACTTCTTCTTTATGGGAGTCGAGTGAGCTAGGTACATACGTAGTTTGTGGGAAAAAATCAAGTCAGTCGAGTGAGCTAGGTACGTAGTTTGTGGGAAAAAATCAAGACAGTCGAGTAAGCTAGGTACGTAGTTAGTGGGAAAAAATCAAGATAGTTGAGTAAGCTAGGTACGTAGTTTATGGAAAAAAATCAAGACAGTTGAGTGTGCTTTTTTTACTTTCTTTTGTTTTTTGTTTTGTTTTCTATTGGCAAGTGATTATCTAGGAACTTGTGAATTTTTAAGTTTTTTCATCGTATCTCCCGAACTATTGAATTCAGAGAGAAATGTTATTCGGATTTTTTGTAGATTCTATCAAAAGAAATAATTTTGGTTTTATAACATTTTCAGATATTTTCAGTTGTTTTCGAGATATTTGTAATTATCTGAGAATAAAATTTTCAACACTCTTGTTCCATCTTCCAATCAACAAAAGGAAAAAATATTTCATGGTACAGTGGAAGTCGATGAGCTTCATCTATCGATAATCTTTGTTTTTCAATATATCTTCATGGTACCCTATGGGTCGTTCACATTTTTTTTTCATATTTTTTACTTTATTTCCTGTACTATTGGGTTTACAGAAAAAATTATAGAAAATAATTTGTAGGGAATGTTCCAGTGAATAACTTTGCACCCCTGATAATTTTCGATTTTTCCATTTGTTTTCGATATATATTGAATTGAAAGGATT